AAGTTTCTAATAAAATCATTAGGACCCCCCAAAACCCCAAAACCCCATCTATCCTTAGCAATTAGTTTGGAGAGGTTACAAATGATTAAATAATCTAATAAAATTATTTTATTTACTGCTTGAATATTTTGCTCAGAGCTCGTTCTTAACTTTCTTCATGAGATGATTTAGAGTTAGAGAGTTTGGTCTTTCAATTGGGAGACCTAGGGCTCTGCTCCATACTTGAGCAGACATGACACCTAAGGCTCTTGACACTCCGAAGAGAACGGTATAGTAGTCGAATTGATTGAGTCCGTAGTGCATGAGAAGTGCTCCTGAGCCAGCATCAACGTTTGGCCATGGGTTGCTAACTTTGCCAGTTTGAGCAAGTGCGTCTGGAATAACTCTGTAGCAAGCCTTGACAAGGTTGACTAGGTTATCATCATGAATGTAATGGTTAGCGAATTCAAGCTCGCACATGAATCTAGGATCAGTTTGTCTAAGAACAGCATGACCATATCCTGGGACGACCTTTCCTGAAGCAAGAGTGTCTCTAACATAATCTCTAATATCGTGTTCGGTCCACTTGGTTCCATACTTGGTTTAGAAATCTAGCAAGAATCTCAAGCATTCTTGGTTTGCGAGACCGTGGAGGGGACCAGCGAGACCGTTCATACCAGCAGCAAATGAGAGATATGGATCAGCAAGAGTTGAACCTACGAGATGAGTAGCATGAGCACTGACATTACCACCTTCGTGATCACTAATGAAATTTATAAATATAAAATAAATATACGCGTGAAGAACTAAATAGAGTCTCATTAGCTCGGAGAAATTCTTATCCTCGATTCCGAGATATCTTGCATAGTTAGCACTATAATCAAGGGATGGGTCTTGATCAGGCATAGGCTTGCCGTGTCCGTATGAGTTGTTGAAAACTAAACCAGCGATTCTTGGTACCTTAGCACAGACATCAAGAGCATCTTCGAGAGTAGTCTCCCAATACTTGCTCTTATGTACTCCATCTCTATAAGCCTTTGCATATTTACTATTTGGTTGACAAGCCATTACACCCATTGAGAACTAAGTCATTGGATGCATATCTTTTGGGAATGCTTAGATAAGTCTCTCCTCATCCTTTGAGAGATGTCCTCTTTGATAAAGCTCTGATTAGAATTCCTTCAATTCTTGCTCATTAGGGAACTCTCCAGTCAATAAAAGCCAAAGAACACCCTCTGGTAGTGGCTCTCTTCCACCTTCAGCTCTTGGAGCTTGCTCTTTGATTTCATAGAGATCCTTTTCACGGTAGTTGATACCTTGAATTGGGTGGAGTTTTGAAGTTTCGTACAAAATACCAGCCATTCCTCTCATACCTCCACAAACTGAACCTACAGTGATCTCTCCGATTTTGGTATTTCCGTGTTCCTTTTTGAAGGCACTAAAAACCTTTTGCTGCTCTACGATCTTAGCCTCTAACTTGTTTCTGACTACTGAGGCGAACATTCTCTATCCACTCTAAAAATCGTGAGATGATGATGGTTGCTTACCTAGGATTTGCTTAGGAGACTCTTGGCAAAGATATTCATACTAACTTATTAATAATTTATTATTAGATTGTGATCTCTGTTAATCTAATTAATATCATCTTATTAAATCATCGCTAGCATAATATTCCTTATGTTCAGTATTATCTCTACCTACGGGGTTTTGGGGTTTTGGGGTTTTGGGGTTTTGGGG